GTGCTTTATTTGCTTGGTTAGTCATTCAATATTGTCTTTGGTCTGGTTTTCTTGAGAACTGATTCAATCATATCTTGTTTTAACTGAAAGTGAAATTTTCTAGATTGCAACTGGTAAAATTGCCTTTTCTCCCTTTTTTTAAGATGGAAGAACTGAAAAATGACTATTCATAGTCCATCCAACAATTGAGATAATGGCTTTGGTAAAGATTTTAGCACATAAATAACATGATGCTCATATTTTGAGCACGTAAGTCGAAGTAGTAAAACTTCTGTAACTACATGTTCTCAGATTAGTAAATGCTTTTGGTTGTAGTGCACTGTTTTTGCTATCTGCGATGCATATTTTAAAGATATTTTCTGAATGTTATAAATTTGAGTGCACATGAAATGACTATCAGTTTATCCAGTAATCTACGTGGAGAAGATTAAGCAAAATCCTTAGAGGTTGCATATTTGGGTGGGCAGCTTCACCTAGTACTTTTACTTGAGAAGTCTACGCTGGCCTTCCAAACCCTATTTTCTCATATATTTTTCAATAGTTTTACCAGAAACTTGCTCCAACAGCTTCATGCCTGAGCTGAACTTGGGAATTATTTATAGAAGGTTATTTTGATAATATTGATATTTGATATTTTGTGAACGTCCTAAACACTAAGTCCGTTGAATCTTCTAGGGTTTTATGACATGGTTGCTTATTTTAGTAATGTTGATGTTTGATGTTTCATTTATGGTTAGTTATAACATAAATCAGTTTGTTTGCTGGTTTTTGCAAAGAATGTTTGCTGTAGTGTATGATAGCTGTGGTGGTCCTAAGGTCTTGAAGTGGAAAGTGGTTGAAAATCCCGTACTCGATTTTAATGAGGTTTTGATCAAGGTTGAAGCCTGTGGCGTTAATAGAAGAGACTTATGGATACGGGAAGGCATATATCAACACTTGGGAAAGAACAAATATTTGGGCTTTGAGTGCTCGGGAACTATTGTAAAAAGAGGAGCAGCAGCTTCTAAATTGCCTATAGGCTCCAAGGTTGGTTTAGCTTAATTTACATGCAAATTTTTGTGTGCTTATTCCAAAAAATGAATAAATTAATCAATACAAATCAGCTTCTACTTTGGAACATGCTTTTGTGTTCCTCTTGTCCATTACTTGCTACTAATAAATTTTGACTAGGTACAAAGTTTTTTTTTTCCTCTATGTTTAAACTTTGAAGTGATACTAAAGCAACATGAGAGGTATTCAATGGCGGTAAAAGCAAAAAGAAAGCGACATGCTACTGTTCACCTATAGAATATTAGAGATGCCAAATTAGGGGGTGTGGAAGATAGTTACTGTAGCAAGTAAAACTGCTTAAAATAGCAAAGATATGCGAGTTTTTCTTTTTGGTACATTGGATGGCCTAGACATAGCTAACAGGTATACCTGACTTCTTTCATCTGCATTGCTTGCCTCATCATGCCAGTTTATTGGTCTCCAGTCTCCAGTGCCTGGGCAACCAGCAAAAGTGAGTTTGACCTTAACCTCTTTAAACAGGCAAAACTGCTTTTCATGTCTGCCAAGAAAAGTACAAAACTGCTAGCTTACATCTTGGGATGTGGATAATTTGGTACTTTAAGGTTCCAATCTATCCATTCTACCAATTGATTATGCTACAACTCCTTTAAAATATAGGAAGCACAAGCTTCTTCTAAATCCTTTGATCCAATGGCAATCTGGTAATGCATAGAGAGTGGTTTCAAAATCCTCATCCATGCATCAGTCCTTGTGTCTATATAAATTTTGCCCTCTTGGACATTGGTCTGTCAAGATGAACCAACCACAGCATATATTACTTGCACCTCTCCCGCTTCCGAATTCTTTCCTGCTTACTTGCCTAGATTCTTAAGGGGATATTTGTTTGTAGGTTTGCGCTCTTCTTAATGGTGGAGGATATGCGGAGTATGTGGCTGTTCCAGAGGACTATGTGATGTCTATACCCTCTGGGTTAACTTTTGAGCAAGCTGCTGCAATACCATGTTCAGCATCACTCATTTGGCTCAGCTTTTTTGAAAGGAACAATCTTATTCGTGATGACAAAGTTTTGGTAACGCTTTGCTTGTTATCCTGAAATTTTTTAGTGTTCTTTATTTGAGCTTATAAAAATAAATAAGAAATTATTTCTTTTTAAACATTTCAGATTCATGGGGCAGCAGGGGGAGTTGGTTCATTAGCGGTCAGAATTGCGAAAAGTCTAGGGTGTGTTGTATTTGCAACAGCAGGTTTGTTGGCTTTGGTCTGACTTGCATTTTGTTGCCTTAAAATTCTTGTATGTGTGCATTGGATTGTACATACAAATTTGCTTTTTGTTTAAAATACGAACAAGTTAATAGTTGGTCTTTCTGGTTAGTTGCCTAAATTAATTGCAAAACAATTTACATAATTTTAGAACATCGACATTACATGGCAGGAGACGAGAGCTAGCTAGTTTCAAACTTAAGATTTAAGATTGAAGATGACGAGTTAACCGTTGTACAAGGTTTGATTAGATTTTGTTGTTTTTTCTTCCAGGATCCGAGGAAAAAGTAGATTTTTGCAGAACTTTAGATGCTGATTTTGCCATTAACTACAAGAAGCAGGATTTCTCTGAGGTCGTGGCTCGTGAAACTAATGGGACTGGTACATATTTTGGTTTCGTCTCACCTTTCCATCTAACATATTTTTGTATGGAAACTTTGCACTCCAACCCCTTCTTCCCCTGCCTCTTCCCTGGCTAAGTTTGAAGTGTAGGATGTTATTTTAGGATTCATTACAAAATTTTGCTAACTAGTGAGAAGATGTGAAACCTTTATTTTATTTATTTATTTTGGTAAAGTTGGATTCAATTTATTTTTACACTGAAGTAATTCGTTTCAGCATGGTAGTTGATCCTTAATTACTTTCAGGCATAGTTATAAAACTCGGTCCGGCTCGACTGTCGAACCGATCAATTCGATGAACCCGTCAATAGACCGGATCGGGTCTCTAATTAGATCGGTTAAGCACTGGAACCGTTGACTAGTCAACGGCTTGGTGGCCGGTTTTTGTGAAAAAATCGGTTTTGAGGAAAAAATTTTACTAGTTTTTTGCTAGATTCAAACCTATGACCTTAGGTCAAGGTCCATGCCAAGCTCACCACCAAGCCATTTGACCACATGTTCATTAGTTGTCATTCTTATACTATATGAACCTTTTATCATTTTTATTTTTATTCTTTTTTTATTGCTCCAAAACAAATTTATTTGAAATCTTTTAATACAAACTTATGACCCCCAAATTCTATAAATTATAAAATAGATTTCAAAAATAAAATATTACATAATTTATTTTAAAGACAAATATTGTTTTTAATAATTTTTTGCACTTAAAATTCGTAAGTAACCTAAATAATTACACCAAATATAGATAAAATTTTACACTTGAAGTTTGGTGGATCACTAATTAAATTTATGTTTTGCTGATTCTTATATGAATTAATTGTTCTATAGCAAATTAAATTAAATGAGCATTTGTTATGACATTATTTATTAAAATTTATATCATATATCCTATATAAAAAATTATAAAGATATAATATTTAAATATATTTAGTGATCCACTGGTTCAACCACTCATCCATTGGTTGAACCAGTAACCCGTTGACCACCTCCTTCCCCGGTCTCCTTTCCGGACCGGGTTTAATAACTCTGCTTTTAGGTGAATGTTGTTGTTAGTTATTGTTTGCTAATGCATGTTTATTTTCGTTCGTTCCTTGTTCTTTTGAAGGGGTGAATTGTGTATTAGATTGTCTTGGAGATGATGTTGTTGACCAGAATTTGAAAAGCCTAGCGGTTGGTGGTAAGCTTATATGCATTGGGTATAAAGATCATTGGAAATGGAGTTCCGTGGAGATGAAGGATCTTGTCTCTAAAGATACAACAATCATGGGTATCTTATTAACACTTTTCATTCATCTTTTGTGTTGAGGTACCGTAGTCAAACTTGTATAACTGGGGTTTGTTATTTAATGCAGGGATAAATATAAACACCTTTAATGTGGTTGAAAAGCGTAACATGCTTGAAGGGATCCAGCGAGACATTTGGCCTCTTCTAAAGGGCAATCCCCACCTTGTGGACATTTGTGCGACTTACTCATTTGCTCAAGCCACACAAGCACACACCTAAATGGAGAAGAACCTCCATCGAGGAAAGATTGTGCTTTTACCCCGTACGGACCTTCCCCATACGGACCTTCCTTAAAGGAAGGAAGGTGGAAAATCTCTAGTTTCCTTCTCATATTTGTATAAAATAGGAGTTGCTTGATAGTTGGAACCAATAGCGGCTGTTCACAAAATTTGTTTTTGAAGCAAATTAAGATGGAACTTGCTGTGAATGCATTCTGGCGCTTGCTTCAGCTTGCAACAATCGAATTATTAGTTTATTACACAAATTACATTAAATTAAGCGCACTGTCAAGCCCAAGAAATAGTTTTATAGTCAAATATTGATCTACGTAGAATTTAACGTCAATTTCAAAATCACGTCAGTTGGATTAATTTGCAACGCCAACTCTGACAAACTACAGCTCCAAAACGAAAAAAGATTGTCCAACTCCGAACCTTGTCTAAACGATCACTAAGAAAAAGTAACCCATGGTTTGGCAAATATGCTTGAGTTTAGAGGTTGACTATATCGACCTGGAGCTACTATGCCCTCCCATGGCATTTCGATTGAAATGGATATTGTAATAGGTGGCTTGGTGTTTTGAGAATTGCTAAGCTGAAGTGCACTACATTTATTGACTTGATGGAAAGATTCATTTGGAGCTTTTCTCTTCTCATTCAGGTCATTTGATAATCCTATACTTCTTGTCATTGCCTGGTCTGTGAGATTTCTGTGGTTCTACTGCATTTTGTCATTATATTACTTAGATAGTTTTGTATAACTTCTTTTGAGGACTTTGGCTTTAAGACTCCCTTGGTTTCTTCTCATTTATTTACACATGTCTCGTGTGTGTGGAGGGAAGGGGTTAATTCATCCACGGAAGTTTTCCTTTCTTGTCTCACTATTGACTGTAGTAACATATATGACTACAATTAAAGCATAATTATCTAGTTGCTGAGAGCTTCATTGTTTTGCAAGATTTTCGTGTTTGGCTATATTTCAGCTTCCTTTCTCTCATCTTTTTTCTGTATGACAACCTTGTGTTTGTTAGTTGACCAAAGCAAGTATTTCCTGAACATCCATGGTATTGTAAGACCATCTTGCCTTGTGCATTGGAACATGCTTTTTCTGTGTTGGTTAAGAGAGCAATCTCAGAGAACTTTCCTATCACTCGTAATGGAAGTGATGTTCTTCCTCAGTTGTGGAATTTTCTTGTTTTGCAGGCTGAGAGTGCACTTGCAGCTTTGAACTAACGTGGTGTAGTCCTGGGTTCACTTCCGAAATGGTTGTTGATGGAACTTCCTTGTTCTGGACTCTCTCTCTCTCTCTCTAACCATCTCTCCTTCTCTCTCCATTAATAATTCGGGGTAAGCCCATCTAAGGTGACCTTAATAATTCAGGCTGAGGTCCTTGGCCTTTATTTTGTGATATAATTCTATCTAATCATTAGAATTAAAGGTAACCTTTTTTTGTGAATGTGTGGATCCTTGTTGGTTGAACTAGGAGATAATTTGAATAAATGTTTTCTTTGTTTGGAGAGAGATTTTAGTTTCTTTCCAGTCTGACCTAGACGCAAATCTTGTTGTGAAGGGGATGTTACACTTCTAATGGTAGGCTAGTACTAGTTCAAGCGGCTGATGTCACCAAGTTCACTGGGAAATATACTTTAGCGACATATGCTGCCATTCTCTGGGGTAAACAATGAAACATTTACATAGCAGCATTTAATCCATAGTAGAAAACTAATCATTCAAGCACTTATTATCAATCATCATAATGCTTTCAGTGGCATCTTGTTCTTTATATTTGTTGTTAACTTGACTTTTAGTCCTGTTGCAGACTCATGCGGTTGCAAGAAACAAATATTAACCATAGGCTCTTGGTTTAGTTATTAATTGGAGTTTTGGGTCAATTAGCAGTCAAGGAAGAGGCACCAGTGGCTTGTGAAAGGAGTTGGCATTTTAATAGCTTCTTGACAATCTGCAGAACACAAAGGGGTACAGCTAGTTCGTACAAGCATATGATTCTCACATACTCTGTTATCTTAAGAAAATGCATGTAGTTGATGTATGATAATTGCTTAACTGTTCAGGGTGAACAGTTGCTAGTGATCACAATTGTACAAAGTGCATTTCAATAGTTTTCTATAACATTTATTTTTGGAGAGACAATTTTGTAATCAAATTTTCTCTAAAATGTGATCACTACCTGATATGGAATGTAAAGGCCATGTGTGTTTACTTGATTTTATGATGCATTCCTTTTGTCACTTAAAGCTTTTGCTGGCTGTTGAAATGTTATTCTTTTTCATTTTCACCTTTTTGTACTCGTTATTACTGAATGATGGTGTGATGCTTTCCATGTAGGATATCAAAACAATGATTACATGCTTCTAATAGTATGTTTCTGGCTATTTTGAGATGCATTTTTCTTGTTTAATTGTCCTTATTTATCTTCTTGTGGAGCATGTATGAACTCATTTGGCAACTTGTTTGGAGTTTCAAAGTTGATTTAGCACCTTACACAGTGTTACTTTACTTCTCTTTAGCAGGCCCTCTAAATTTGGTATTGAGTGAGTATTTAGTTTTGTTATCTTTGCTCATTTGGCATCTTGAAGAGACATACTAAAAGGATATCCATTTGGTTTCCAATTTTGTGGTTGGAACCATGGTGGCCCACGGTAGTTCCATTCAGTGTCCTTTTTCATGTTTGGAGCTGGGTAGTCCCCTGTCTTAAAACCACTGGGCCAATGGCTCAGTGGCCACCCATTGGCCCAGTGCCACCAGGGATGGACTTAAGTCCCTCCTTGGGTTGTTGGTAAGGTTTGAACCCTCACCAGCAGTGAAAAAAATCTAAGAGTTGTGCCATAATACTTCCTTGGTCTAGTTGGGTCTGTATACCCACTAACCCTACAACAGCCTCCTTAGGCTCCCCCTCCCCCTAGATTAGAATAGAGTAGGTTATACAAATGTATCGTTGCTGACAAAAAAAAAAAAAATCCCCAGTCTTAAAAGGGTTTTCTAATAACGTGGTCCCTCCCCCAAGCTGTCGGTTCCTAAAGGCTGCTTTCCTTGATTTACTTGAAGTTAGTATGTATCATCATAATTTGTGTCAGTTACTTGTGACATAATCAATAACTGCTTTTTTGTTTAATTTGAAGATGTTGGCTGTCCGTATTCAAAGAGCTGGAGGGCCGGATGTGTTAATACCGGAAGAATTAGAATTGCCTGAGATCAAAATGTATGACGTTTTAATTGATGTAGAATGGTGTGGGGCTAACAGAATAGATTTGGACCAAAGAATAGAAGGGAAGAAGTGCTCAAATGGTGTGGCCTATTGCCCAGGGCTTGAATGCTCTGGGCGTATTATAGCTGTGGGGAAATATGTCAGTCAGCATAAGCCATCTGGTCGGGTAAGTTTTAGTCAATTGAATGAGAAATAAAGAAATAAATGAGTATAAAATATTGTTGATTGTTCTTTTTCTGGAAGGAAGCTAAAACTTTATTTAACTGTTGATTATCTCTTCTATGTTCATTGCATTAGTGTTACTTGTGATATGAGAATGAAAATGTTACCAATTTAAACTACTATGCTGTTTACCCTCCAAAAACATCCTTTTTTTACCTCGTCGAGTGTGCTCTGAAGGCTTATGTAATGCAGTTTGGATCTTGTGTTTGAAGATTCTTGAATTCAACTTTGCGTTTTTGTATTTATCGTAATTTGGTGGTTCCTCTAGCATTTCGATGTCCTAAATGTGTATTTGGCCAACTTAAATGGTGCTTGGAATGCAAGAAAATGTATATTTTATAGTGCGTTGAAGGCAGGCTCACAAACACAGGAAAGGCTCTCGATATGTTGCTCTAGCTCTTCTAATTTTTTGTTTATTGGAGCAAATTGCTCGTTATTCTAAATTTTTTTCATTGCATTGGATGAAAACGTAAAACATAAAATGGATAGTAGTATTTGATATTTGATATTTCCTTCTATTGGATGCACTAGGGTAAGAGAAAATTATTCTATTACTTAGGCAAGTAAGATAGAATTATGAGGTCAACTAAAGTTGTATTTGCTGATGCTTCGATTAGTCTTGATGTATCTTTGAAAAAAATGTTATTGACATATTATGCAGGTTTGTGCGATTCTTGATGGAGGGGGATATGCCGATAAAGTGGTAGTGCCAGCCAATCAAGTTTTTGAGGTTCCCGAGCGTATTTCCCTCAAAGAAGCTGCATGTTTTCCTGAGGCTGCTTGTACCATTTGGCAGGCCTTTTCCAAGGTCAAGATAGAAAGAAGAAAAACCATATTGGTAATTGAGTAATTAGCATTCTCATGAATAACTATCCTTTTACAACTTTCTTATTGTAAATCCAATTCCTGTTTTGTCTAATGTACTGCTTTCAACTTGTGTTATGAATTTTTTATTCCATCATGAGAAATTTAACTTTGTCTTGGGTGATTTTGGACCTATTCTTTTTCTTTTTTTGCTGAGGAGGACATTTTAAATATGCATTTTTGATTGTTACTATTGTTGTTTTAAAAGCTATTATGTGTTTAGTGCGTCTTGCCATCTTTCAAGTTTCTGCGTTTATGTATATTGGAATGTCACATTTGGTATAAAATGTTTCTAGCTAAGAAAGTCTGATATGCTTATCATTGATAATAATGCAAAATGATGGTCAGTTTGAAACTTTTCAGGTACATGAAGCCTGCGGTTATTATGCAGTATTTGCGATGCAGATGGCAAGACTAAAGGGGGTTCGGGTGTTTGTTGCTACAGGTTTGCTTTCAGTTTTCAAATGCAAAAGTCTGTTTAAAGCCGTAGATTGTATTTAAAAATGCTACTGGAATAATCAATTTTTTTGGGTTGCAAATGTCTTTGTAGAAAATGATGAAAATAATAATTTTTACATGGAGCTAGGCGCCTACAAATGTATCAACTGGAATGATGATGATTTTCTTACTCAGGTGCAGAAACTAACGTCAGATAGAGGTATAGTTTTTATTTTAACTTTTTGGGATATTTGTAGTAATGTATTTACTACTATTGAGTATCTAGGCTTCTTAATGTTTTTCATTTTATTTTGTTGTTGGGAACGGTGAATAAGTTAGAGAATATACCTAATTGTTTAGAGTCGAACTTTTGGCACAACGACTGGAAGATATGATGAAATGCTTTCATTTGATATCCATGCTATTTCCTATGTTTACTATTTTTGAATTTTGATTAATATTATTCAATGTCAGGTGGTATTGAGATTATCTTGGATAGTAGGGGAGATCATTTGCCTCAAGATCTAGAAGCCTTATGTTTCGGGGGTGTGGTCGTATTTTTGGACATGCATGGTAAAACATTGGTGGATGTTGATATTCAGTGCTTGATGGCGAAAAATGCCCAAATCGAAGGTAATCTGTCTATATTGACCTGTTTGATGAATTTGAGAAGCCACTATTGCCTTTTCATTGCAAAGCTTTTCATTGTGTCTTCATATTGGCAGTGTACGCATCTATTATGAAGGCCAACCTTCTGCTTGACTCTGTCATCTGTTGGAACTTGTTGCCATAAAAATCTCAGATAAATTGGTGCGCATTGGCCATAAAAAGCTTGACTCTGTAATCACTAGTCTTGTGTGTTTTCTAGTATTGCACATTATATAGGATGAAGTGTTGGATAAGAAATGCCCATTGATGTGGATTGGAAGTCCATTCGATATATTGGATTATTTTCTTGTTACAATTTGAATTGGGTATGTGATTTTACCTACTCTTGAGCGGATCATGAATGTAATTCTCAAGAAATGGTCTATTCTATATGAGTTAACTTTTCTTTAATGCTATTATATCTGGTTATTTTTTTGGTCTCCTAGATCTTTGATTGCTTTCACAATTGCCTCATCACATATGAGCTGTATTGGCTGGTGTATGCAGTGGTTGATAGGGCCCAAAATTTGGACAGAAAAGTCGTTCTTGGCGCGAAGCTGTATATGCAGGATGCAATCAATACTGGACTGGTGAAATTGCATCCTGGAAAGTGCTTCCAGCTTTCTGAGGCAAATCTTGCTCATAGGTACATGGAGAGCATGAACATAGGTCAGAAAATGTTGTCCCCTTTGGCTTCATGGAGTCCAAGTTTAGTGCCTTTTGTTTACAAGGGGATGTTAGCAAAAGACGTCAAGGGGAAAACACTGCTTGACTGTCAAGCGAAGGGACAAACTGATAAAAGGCGAAAATTAGAATAGAGTTCCAGGGGTCTAAAAGCTACAAGTGTGTCCAAACCCATGTTTGGATTTTGAACTGTCCATTCTAAATTTTTGTAGTTCAGATTGTGTGGCACGTACATTTTCAGTGTCTATTTTGAGAATTTGCAGTCCAGACATGAAATGAAAGCAGAGATTGAATGGTCGTGATTCACGGGGTTGGAGTCTTTGAGATTTCTTGATGAAAGAGCAAGCCATTTCGGCTGATCCTCATCCACCCACTTTGTAAGACCAGCAATTTTGGCAGATCTATAATTGAATCATATATGGGTTCTTCTAGTTGATACGCGCTGCATTTAAATCACACCTAATTTATCATGTAAATGAAGACATTAAGAATTATTATTCTATCTTGTATTTATAAATTTTCGTATTTAATTTTTCTTTTCTATATATTAATACTTGAACTCCTCTTTTAGCTAGTGCCAAATATAGATTGATCTTGTATAAGCACAGTTACAATATAGACATATGCAAAAAAACAAAACAAAACTATTGAAAACATATTAATACTAAGTGCAACCTACTTCACCATTTTTCACCCAAAAAAAACAAAAATGTTAAATAAATAAATAAGTAATCAACAAGATATTCCTGTCATAAATTTTGATTTATGCATCTATATCTTTTTTCCGTATGATAAAAACATGTCTTCTTTGTTTAACAACTTGACTAGTAGTGCATCAAATTCTTGTGTTTGTGGCATGCATATAAGTTCTCCATTCACTGCTCAGAGTTTTTTGTCATCAATCACTGGACTGCAGCATCAGAGTTCCCAGTCCCTAAGGGGAGTGCTATATTAAATGAAGCGAATGAAATAGATACGAGTACTTAAAAGTAGAGACAATTTCCTCAAAGGCTTGAACAGGTCATGAATACAGATTGGTTTCTTGATAATTTACACCGGTGAACATGTCAACAGATGGATTGCTTTTTCAATCCAATTAAAAACGCTTAACGTACGTTTACATGAATTACAAAAACAATTCTACTCAAAACTAAACTTGGGGAAAAACATAAAAAAGAAAGGAGGAGGATCAGAGAAAGGAATACACAAGAAATTAAGACTTGGTGAAAACACTTTTTTCACCTTCAACTCGTGTTTCCATTGGAACTGCCAATCCTCTAGCCAATCCTACGGGATCAACCACAAAGACATTATCAAACTTAATCCATTGCTTAACACTGTTCAAGAAGTTTTTTTCTTTTTTGTTTCTGACAAAAATACCAAAGATGGAGAGTGGAGTTTTACGACCTTCCTCAGTTGGGGAACTGTCAAGGGGCTCCCCACATCTCGACAGTTCCACACCATAGCTTTCATTTAACATTTAGAGCCCCAATAAGGGTGGGCTCCAACCCCTCAACTAGTTCCATCTCCTTACAGTTTCCTTCATCAGCTTTTATTTTCTTCTTATTTTCCTTCCCTTCTTGTTCCTTCCTTCCCTCCCACTCCATGGTCTCCATCTTCCTTTTCCCTCTCTCATTCCCCGCATCAACCTGATTAACTTCCACCAAAGGCCTTCTTCTACTTACTTCCAGAATCAGTCTTTTCCATGTTTTGTTTGCCTTATACATTCCTTTCTCTCTATCCCCCTGCTTTTCCAGTTTCTTTTTGTCTTCCATTGCTCCCTTGCTTCCAATACTCTTCTTGCCATCCCCCAGCACCCTACTCTCATTCCTCACCCCATCAATGCACATAAGATCAGTCAGCTCTTCCACAAATCTCTCACTCTGGCTCACCTTTTGTTTCAATTTTTGATTCCTTTCCACCCTGGTGCTACTTTAACCACCCATGTCCTCTCTTTCTGTCTTACCATCACCCTTATCCCCCAGGCTCCTTTCCATTTTCCCTCCTACTCCTTTCCCAATCCCCTCTTCCTCCCCAACTTTCTACTCAATTAGAGACTCCTTCTCTCCCAAATGAACCTTCCTAATCACCTCTTCCTCAGTATTAGGTCCCACTCCCTCCCTCTCATGAAATGCTTCTGTATATGTTAACAGCAATTTTTTATCCTGAGCATTACCCTCACTCATAGTCTGAGTTGAGATTCCTCTTTTTCAGCCCCTACATTCGTTCCCATTCCTACTTCTCCTATTAGGACTTCTAGGATAGCTAGCTCTCAACTAATTCCCATACTGAGGTTCCCTCTCCTTAGCCAATCCTTTCCTCCCACAGTTCCTCTCACTATGCCCAACCATACCATAGCAGAAATAGAAATCAGGACATTTTTCGTATTTAAATTCTATCCATCTCACCATTCCATTACTCTTAACCATAATTCCCCTTGGTAAAGGAACAGACAGATCTATTTCACCAAGGATTTTTAGATGTTTACCTTCTTTCCCTCCTCCCTGAGGAATGATCACATCCTCCACTCTTGCGAAAATGCTTGCTATCTTCTTACCAACATCCTTGGTGATCCAATGAATTGGAATATTCCAGAGCTAAATCCATATCAATGCTTTACTCAACGCCTCTCCATCCTCTTCCAGGCCAGCTCTCCATTTCAATAGGATCTGAGATTGACCGTCATAGATCCACGGTCTCTTATTCAAAACCAATTCCACATCCTTCTCCTTCTAAAAAAGGAATTGAAACAAGTTGCGACCAATCTCCACCACTCTCAGGTTCCTCACTTGAGGCCACATAACCCCTACAAAATTCCTAATACCTCCAATGTTAGCTAGTTTAACCCCCTAAACTTTCCCAATCAGGCTCAGTTTGCACTCCCTGACACCTTGAGCCATCACCTCCTCCTCCAAACAGACTCCATCTCTTTCTTCCTATGATAACTTGAACTTTCTTAAGACTTCCTCTATATTGTCCATGACACCTTCCACAGACCATACACTGAGAATTCCAGTAGCTACCAATCCGGCACAGATCCAGAGCCAGTCAGAGTCCTTCGATGCCTCCTTATTAACTCCCAGCACCAGCTAGTTTTGCCACACACAAAGAAGACAAGCGAGATCAAAATAGCAAGAAGACAAAAGAAAACAAATCAGAGAATGTAAGACCAGAAGCTGATCGATTAGATGTAGCTAGGCCACATCAAATCACGGATAATCGAACTGGAGCGAAGTTATGGCTATCACAACCAGCAATTCTACTACGAGATCAAAAGTAATGGAAGAAATCTACAAGTTTCCGTGAATAGAAAGTTTTTTAAACCGAAACCTAGCTGATTTTGAATTTTCCTAAATGAGTAACCACCCATAAGGAGGACTTTCTCTCTCTAGGACAGAGAGAATTCTCTTCCATAGTGAGATAATGTCTCTTCTTTTTACATGTCCCTTACTGTTAAGATTTAATTCAACTTGTAAGTGACTTATTGTGGAGAAGTTGCCGATCCCGAACTAATTTGCTCCTTAAGTCGCATTGTTCAGACAAAAGAATTGTTCCGGGGCTAGTATTCTTGGTGACACGGGATTATATTTTTTGGAAGCATAATTGCCAAATACCCGTAGGAGGAGGTTGTGGGTGTATCTTTCACGGCATTGGTATCTTTTATATTTTTATTTCATTGATTTTCTTTTTGGGATCCATATGGATTCTAAACTTGATACTTGAGGCATTGATGGTAATGTCCACTTTTATTCAAGTTAAATTTGAGTATTTGTTTTTTTTTCCCACCTCTTCCAAAGTGAAAGTTTTATTTTTAGTTTCTTTGGGCTGAGCTATTTCGTATTCCAAGCATACTCAGTCATTTTGAGTTTGTTTAAGCTTTTGATCATTTTTCCTTTGGTTTATTCTAAATAAAATTTTGTTTTGTTATGCTGGTGATTTAATAGTGCTTTATTTGCTTGGTGAGTCATTCAATATTGTCTTTGGTCTGCATTTCTTGAGAACTGATTCAATCATATCTTGTTTTGACTGAAAGTGAAATTGTCCAGATTGCAATGTGTAAAATTGCCTTCTTCCCCTTTTTTAAGATGGAAGAACTTAAAAATGATTATTCATAGTCCATCCAACAATTGAGATAATGGTTTTGGTAAAGCTTTCAGCACATAAATAGCATGATGCTCGTATTTTGACCATGTAAGTCGAAGTAGTAGAGCTTCTGTAATTACATGTTCGCAGATTAATAAATGCTTTTGGTTGTAGTGTACTGTTTGTGCTTTGCACGATACATATTTTAAAGATATTTTCTGAATATTATAAATATGGGTGCACATGAAATGCCTAGCAGTTTATCCAGTAATCTAAATAGAGAAGATTAAGTATAATCCTTAGAGGTTAACATATTTGGGGTGGGCAGCTTCACCTGGTACTTCTACTTGAGATGTCTACCCTTGCCATCCAAACCTTATTTTCTCATATATTCTTCAATAGTTTTACCATAGCTTGCTTTAACAGCTTCCTGCCTGAGGTGATCTTGGGAATTATTTATAGAAGGTTATTTTGTTATGGTTGTTTTGATAATCAAAAGTTGAAATTTCTGTTTTGCTAAAAAATATTGATGCTTTTAACCTCATTCGAAAGTTATAAATTTTCTCTGTCATTTGGTTAATTGCAGACTCGACAATTGATTTCTTCTGGGGCTATGTGGCTGATCTCTTCCTTTAGGCATTTCCAACTCATGCAGCCATAAACTTGAAAACCACCTTGTCATGGCAACTGGCATGTTGAGGAAAATAAGGAAAAATTATAAATTTTTGGTTAAGTTTAGCCGCTGGCCATATGTATTAATAATTATTATGGTTGGGCTTGGGGTCGGAGTTCGGCAATTTGTCGTTGGCCCCGATGGCAAACGCTTGAATCATCATAAGAAGTTCTCTAGTGAACATCTGTGGTGTAGTGTGTTTTTTTTGTGTCTTCTGGGTGTGTTGGTAATGTTTGCTATGCAATTGGTGATTTCTAGGTTGAAGAAAAAGAAATGGACAAAAACGGAATCAATGGTAAAATGTTTGGCAAAAACTGTCCTAGGGGTTGCTTTCTACTTTCTCGCTATGTATCTAGGCGCATGCATAGTTGAAGATCAAAAATCTTTTCTCTCCCTAGTGATAATGACGTGGTCCATATGTGCTGGTAATTATCACGGTTGGGCTTGGGTAGGAGTTCAACAATTTGTTGTTGGGCACGATGGCAAATGACTAAGAATTGACATGCATGTCTCTGGTTATAGCCTATGATGGATTGGATTTAGTTGATACTTTCTATGCTTGCTCATAATATTTGGGGTGCATTTGGGATCTCTAATTGAAGGAGAAGGGTTGGGGTAGGATTGAAACATTCTTGTAAAATCTTTGATGATAGCGGCTCTAATGATTGCTTTCTACTTCCTATCGATCATGGACGTGTCATGCTTTCTACTTCCTATCAATGATGGACGTGCATAATCATGGATCAAAAATATGTTTTTGCATCCCAAGTGAAATTGACATGCAAATAGTCAGAAATCTTTTGTTATCTCGCTATCCTTCAACTTCATTAGATAAGCTTACCATGATTTAGGCTTTTCAAATCGACAAACCCCCAACCTATCAACAGTATCTATTACATAATTCACCCTAACTAATCTTAACAAACATACAAAGATATTAAAAAAATACACATGCATTAACAAATATGTTGTTTCTTATTTATTATACACTCTGATATGTTGTATAATAGATCTTATTTATTATTGTTAAATGTATAGCATCTCATGCATAAGTTGCAAAATGGATGATGATATTTGGATGTTTTGTGTTTTATGGAGTGAAACACATATTTTCTACCAATAAAGTGTGACAACAATATCTACTAATTTAGACAATACATAACAAATACTTATTTATACACATGTAAGGTGGTTGATATTAAATTGAAATATGCTAAAAAAATACAATTATATGTACGTTTCTGATATTTATTGTATTAACTTTTATCATGTATTATAAAATATAGAACATAATGTAGTTGTATCAATTGAAGACCATAAATCACAAATGCAGAACAGATTCCTATTTAACTCTAAAAATAGAAAATAAGGGACTACTTCCTATTATAGCTTAAAAACTTTATTTATTCAATTGGCCTTAATTTAAAAATATACAATTTATTTAAATTTTTTGACTATTTGTAATGATGATTTCTAAACCACTATAAATAATATGGTTTTTGACAAGTAAGTTATGATATTTGTTTGGCATTTATTTATAGATCTATTAAAAATTGATTAAAAAGGAAAATGATGACAGATCCATAAAAAAGAATAAAAATTCTACTTTGTCCTTTGTTCTTGTAAATGGAGAATATAACCAGTTATATATGCTCTAAACAGCTTGGTAAAAAGAACCAAAAGAACTTTAGACAATGAAGAGTACAATTATGAATTAAATTTTGAATTAATTATTTCTTTCTTTCTTACACTAATTGACTTCCTATCTATGTTTAGGAAGAGAAATACCCCCGTCTTCCTAGTTTCTGTAAATATTTAGAGTCAAACAAAAGGCATCTTTATTCATATCACTAGGGGTTAAGTAGAGGTATTTCCTTAAATATTTTACATCTTATATAAATCTACAAGGTGGAAAGGTTATAGGGATATTATTGAACAATAGGAGGATTATGCGGTATTTTAAGGAAATTGCTATTTCCGTTAAAATCATTGAATAACAAATATTTCGTCCACAATCATAAATAGAAAATATCTGACTTTAACACACATACTAGCAGTAATTCAAGATGATTGCAACTGATTGAACAGCATATGAAATGCATTCTAACATTCCTCACTTTCTTGATGGAGTAACTTGTCAACTACGTAGCTCATTGTTGGTCCTGCATCTAGGTCTTCCCCTAAGAGTTGGAGAGTAACTCGAACTAGAAATTCAATATTTGTCATATCAAATTCAACATTCATGGCAAAGTTTGCAATTTTTGCAATCACTGTTGGTGATGTTCTTCCATTTGTTTCAAGCATCTTATCTTTCACCCATGTAACGTGATCGACATTGGAGTAATTAGTGCTATTCTATTCTGAGCTAAAGACTTATTACAAAAATCAGTCAATGGGATTAATTGTGCTTAAAAATTGAAACACTTGGGACCACATTTACTTTCATCTAAACTTTATGAACTAAAACTGCTCACGCCCTAAACATTGGAGATCAAAACCACAATTCTTTCTATTATTCAACAATAAGAGGATTGCTTTGTAATTTAAAGTAAATTACTATTTGCCTTAAATTCAGAAAGAGAAATATTTCTTACTTTTAATATTTTGTTCACAACAGTAAGGTGGAAACATATAAATTATATGAACACCAAATATCTAATTTTAACACACATATTAGTCAGCAATTTAAGATGATCACAACTCATTGAAAAGTATGTGAGATGTATCCTAATATTCATCACTTTCTTGATGGAGCAACGTGTCCAGCACTTGGCTCATTGTTGGTCTTGCATCTTTGTCTTCCTCTACGCATTGGAGAGCAACTTGAACAAGAATTTCCACCCTTGCCATATCAAATTCAGCATTTATGACAGGGTCTACAATTTTTGCAATTGCTATTGGTGATGCTCTTCCATTAGCTTCGTGCATTTTCTCCTTCACCCAAGTAACTAGTCTCCTTGGCTCCATTGCACTGGTGCTTTCCTCCATAGAATGGCCTTCAACTGGGCTTCTTCCAGTTAATAATTCCAGCACAACAATTCCATAACTATAAACATCAACTTTGGAGGTTATAGGAAGATTGAAAACCCATTCAGGGGCCATGTAGCCTCTAGTTCCCCTTATCCTAGAAAACGTTGATTTATCTGTCCCACCTCTATTCAATAGTTTGGACAGGCCAAAATCTGCCACCTTCGGCTGGTAATTCGAATCCAAGAGTATGTTTTGAGGCTTCACATCACAGTGCAAAACCCACTCTAAGCACTCTTCATGCAAGTAAGCAAGTCCTTTGGCTGTACCAAGAGCAATATCATACCTCTTTTTCCAGTCAAGTCTGTTAGAATGCAGATTTTTTGCTAGAGAACCATGCTCCATGTACTCATAAACCAATAGCCTGTGCTTACCTTCAACACAATATCCCCATATCTTAATCAAATTCATATGGTTCAACTTGCCAATAGTACTCAACTCTGCAAGAAATTCGGCTTCTCCCTGGTTGGCTTCATTGAGACACTTTATGGCAGCAACTCGATTATCTGTCAACACGCCTTTATACACAATGCCTCCCCCTCCTCGTCCTATTTCTGCGCTGAAGTTTCTTGATGCCTTTTTCAACTCAGCAAAAGTGAATTTCCTGAATCCTGTTGCAACCTGAGTGTAACCCTGTATTCTTGCACTAGATCCTCGTCGGGTTTTGAACAAGTAAGTGAAGAAACAGAGGATCTCAAAAGTCCCAACTGCCAAAGTGCACCGCAAGGATGACTTCACCCACCCATGTTGACCTTTTTTCTGGTATGCTCGGCCGAGTGAAGCAGCATCGACTGTGCACTTTATGTTGGTTTGTTGAAGAGGCTTTTGATCAAATGAGGTTATAATAGATTGGGGCAATCTTAGATAAATTGGGAAATCAAAACCACTTGAACGATACCCATTGAACAAACTGGCCTTAGGGTAACAATTATAATAGCCTTTATCTTTATCAAATTTGAATTGGAAGCCTTTACAACTGCAATAGTTGAGGCATAAATTTTGACAATTATCAAGCGTGGAATTACTAAAGAACCCAATATCATAGCCATAAAATTCAACATTTTGGAGAAGAAGAAAACCTGATGCATTACTATCATTGTATGGCAGTTGGAAATCTGGTTCGCATCCATAAGCCCAATCTTTCTGGCTTTTGATTTTGTATCCAGGTGCACAAGTGCATTTTCTTCCGGTCTCATGCGCGTAAGTGCACAAACTATTTTCTCCACATATCCCATGAACTGTGCATGGTTGCAGTGTGGATTGCCACGTAACTTTCCAATTCCGACTTGCCATATCAAGACTGTAGACCCGGACATTGCCATCAAAATCCACGGTCAATCTTCTTTGTATGCCTGGACCATAATCAACAGTAATAATGTCAAACTGATCTGATGACTGGAATCTCCCCCATGAATCAAGAGTGGCAACCTTACTGTTGTTATAAGGGTACCTCCCGTTCTCCCAACTATGTTTCCATGGGTCAGGCCATGAAATACCTGCTGTTTGAGGACCCTGGTACAATAGACTAAGGACGTTATCATCACCAAAGTATAACTTGTAGAATCCAGAAGAATAATTCGTCAGGCTTCTGGAAGATATGAGAACAGAGTTTTGGGTGAGCGACTGCCCTGGAAGAAGCGTGTTTGTTGGGGAGTTAAAGCTTTGCCAAAGATTTCCGCCCTCTATATTGCTCAGCACAAGATTGCCATTGTCATGGAGTTGCAATTGAAGAGAAGAGTTTGATTGCGTGCTACTTGTCCAAACAGTAAACTGTCCTGCATCTGTCAGCACAAGACTGCCAGACTTGAGCAGGGAAAGCCTGGAATTTTTTCCATTAACCGGTCGGTCCCTATTGGCCATCCAGACAATGGTGTAATTTCCATGATCATATAGCTCAGTAAACCATATACTAAAGCAATACGCATTCTCGCCAACACTGAAAAATCCCGCAGTGAAATTTCCATGCGGTTTTGAAATCAGAACATCTTTAGAAGAAAGTGATGATCCTGTAGTCAAACTATCAGTGCTTTTCGAGGATGATACAAATGCTAATAACAAAGCTAAAACAGAAATTAAGATAGCATTAAAGAATAGACCCATTGGAGTTGGAGAAGTGTAATTTTGCAAGTACATGCATGCAAACTTCTTGTGGACAAACATGGCAGAAAGTAGAGGAATATATAGATAGTATGAGTGGTCTCTCGTAAGACATGACTTCTTGACTTCTTGTGGTTTGTGGAACTACTTTTTGCATATTGGAAGTCAAGCCACTTTGATAGTATGAGTGGTATCTCGTAAGACATGACTTCTTGACTTCTTGTGGTTTGTGGAATTACTTGTTGCAGATTGGAAGTCAAACCACTTTGCTTTTTAATTTTCTCAGGAGTTTGGCTTTGATTAGACTGGTGTAGCTGGGAATCATCGCTCAAATGTAAACTAGAGATGCACACTTCCAGTTATGGAGATAATTTGCTCGAGTTTTTTTTTCCTGTATACTTACTAGAACTATGACACTTTATTTCTTAGAGGCTTGTTAAAATCCTCAAATCTGGTGATAGAGATAGAACATACAACGAAAAGCCTAATATACACAGAACACTCTCTTTTCGTTTTTCTTTTTTGTCAATTCCTGATTTGGACTGGAAACATTTTCATATCCTAGTCACCAGCTCGTCCCCCTCGGTAAGTATCCTTTCATTTAATTGGGTGGTTCATCCCAACTTCCATGCAAGTCTCTTTAAACTCCCTTCATAGACTAAGAATAAGAGTAAGTTGGATAATTGTCATTACAAACCAACCACTTCTAGAATAGTTGATCACTAAAAGAGTTTCAATGCTCTACTTGGATGTAAGACAATGAATCAAATCTTTTACCCTACATTCTAACATTCAAGCTTTCCTGGAAATGTTTATTTAGCAGGTGCATGGGCGTCCCGTCTAAACTGGGGATGGTTCACCGGACTCCCCTAAAAAAAAAATCTAATTGGGTTGAGGCCGGAGGGGATTGGGTCACTGGTTTCTCTATATGTTTTCAGAATAAAAAGAAGTAAATACTGTGTTAACCTTGGGGAGCCCACTACTTACAGCCCATTTGTCCCCAACATCTAACCTTTGGTGATCAATTATTAATGTGATAAATTTGCATCCCCAGCTACCTCATGTCTATTGTCCGCAATATGTGTCTGTCGGGCAATCACGTGTCCTTAACTATGCCCTCCCTTTCTTCACTTCCAAAGAGTTCTCCTTGTATTGGAAAAAGAAAAAGATTTAGACCCTCTTTGATAATCTAATGTCACATTTAAATTTAATGAATTCAAATTTTAATATATTCAGACTCATTTGATAGCAAATGACACTGAATTTTCTAGACAAAACTTGCTCTCAAAATTAAGTGATAAACTATTCACTTATTACTGAATGTGATATATACTCAAATATATTAGATTTAACACTTGACAATTCAATAATTCAATAAATTCAACTTTCAAATTTTAAATTTTAGATTTCAAACTTCAGTTTTTAAATTTCAATTTTATCAAACGCACCCTTAATAACCATTAATCCCAGAAACCCAACTCCGGTAGGCAACCGTGAGGTCCCGATTCAGTCTTCCCTTTTTACTTGTAAAGTCTAGAGTTTCTCCTTCATTCATGTTACAAAAAAAAAAAAAAAAGGAAAAAAAAGGAGGAAGTTAACATCCATTATTCCGTTTGCATCTCTCTGAATTTTCTACAGGTAATATTGTACAGCTGCGAGTTCTAGAACTACGAATGGGATGCATCAATTTTAACCGAAATTATTTTGTCTCCCATAAGGAAGATTTCATGGCATTTGGCCTTCTTTCAGACCTAAAATTAAGGGGGTAAAAAAAATTTCATGGCCTGAAAATTGAAGCCTATGCAATCCTATCTTATGCCGACTTTGATGAGGTCCCATCGGGTGTTTCACACTTTCTTCGTAAAGATTTGCGCTTCACTTAAACGTCCTTGGGAAAGGTAATAGAATTAGTTTATTTGATTCAATTCTTCGGCAAAAATACTTCAGGCTATCCCCTTTCACGCATTTACGACATGTATATTGAGTATAAATTCATTGAATTTGACCGAAATGAAGGATTGTGGGATTTTTTTTTTCCTTTTTTTTGTGTGGGAGGGGACGGTTGTGTCCATGTTGCTTCATTTTTTCGTTTCTATAGATATCGAGATTTGACTGATGTAATTGATTTTTTCAATCGTCATAACCACATTAAAAAATCAGGTCAACAAAAAATCCCTATTATTGCACCCGCCCTCATTTTCAATTGAATCCATCCAACCCCTATTGTTGTTGCCTTTTTCTCAATTAAAGAATATCAAGGTTGCATAGTGTGCTGAACAATTTCCAGCAATTCGTTAATAAATTTTGTTATTTTTTAATAAAAGAACTAAGTTTTTGCCAATTGAACAAATTAGAGAGCATAGTGAGAAATCGACATTCTTGGCGAGGGTAAGTTGCAATTAACCCATTGCCGTTTCAAATATTCCTCTTATTAGAAGCAAGTGATTACTACGATATTCCAATTGCATCAGCGTATGAAAAGTCAATCACATACTGCACACGCTAATTGTTCAAAAGTCCTACATTTTGTCTTCAAACGTTTTACCGAAATGCAGTTAATGTGATAAATTTGCTTGAGGTTGTCGAAGATAAGCACAGTTACAATATAGACATATGAAAAAAAAACACTATTGAAAACATATTATTACTAAGTACAACATTCTTTAACATTTTTCACCAAAAAAAATGTTAAATAAATAAATAAGTAATCAAAAAGATATTCCTGTTATAAATTTTGATTTATGCATCTATATCTTTTTTCCGTATGATAAAAACATGTCTTCTTTGTTTAACAAATTGACTACTGCATCTAATTCTTGTTCTCCATTCACTGCTCAGAGTTTTTCGTCATCAATCACCGGACCGCAGCATCAGATTTCCCAGTCCCTAAGGGGAGTGCCATATTAAATGAAGCGAATGAAACATATACGAGCTAGTACTTAAAACTAAGTAGAGACAATTTCCTCAAAGGCTTGAACAGGTCATGAATACAGATTGGTTTCTTGATAATTTACACCGGTGAACACGTCAACAGATGGATTGCTTTTTCAATCCAATCAAAAACGCTTAACGTACGTTTACATGAATCACAAAAACAATTCTACTCAAAACTAAACTTGGGAAAAAAAATAAAAAAGAAAGGAGGAGGATCAGAGAAAGGAATACACAAGAAATTAAGATTGGGACGACCATTCTCAGATTTACCAGCTTTTTCTATGAGCATGAAGCCCAGTTGGTTTTTCTGCTGGTTCACTTAGCACACTCTTAGGAGAAGACGATCCAGAACTTTTTGGAGATGCCACTTTGTCATTCACCATATTCTTTTCGCCTAATCTTCTTACATAATCTTTCTTGGTCTTCTTTGTTTCCTCCGAAGTTGAGCTCCTTTGTTTAATCATAGGTACTAAATACCATCCAAGGGATGTGCATAGTATCGCAAATGATCTTCCATACATGACCAAGAGCAATAGAATCAAGACCATCATAACCGGCATGTACCAACAGGGGCGCCTCAAATTTTTCAACTTTAAGCTCCATCTAATGCTCTTCTTTGCAGGTCTTTGGCTGGATTCCTCTTTCTGTTGTTGTCGAACTTCTTTAACAACGGTTGAGGTCTCAATTGCATGTTTATCTTCTGATGGTAATGAATTCATGCGTGACATCTGCTTTTCTTTAACATTGCCAACATGATTGTTACCATTTCCTTGTTTCCTGTCCCTGGCCTTCACAACAATCGGTCTCCAATCGTTGGAATTCGAATATACAAAACGAACAAAGGAGATGTCTTCGGAGCCTTTTTGTGTGTAAATCTTCTGCTTCTTGTCTTCAAGTTCAGCCAAAACTGCAGAGAACTTCTCAAGACCTCGATTTGCATAAGGGTTATTGCTATCTCTACTTCTACTGGAATAACTCGTCTTTCTTGATCTCTTTGGCGTTGAGCACGGGCCGAGAAGTTCATCGATATCATCTTCATCTTCTTGACCGCTGAAACTGCCACAAACAAGAGGAGGCAACATCTGGAAATGAAGAGGGAATCAGTGGAGAGAAGGGATTGTATACGGGATTACAGTTAATCTTGGATTGAGAATGGAAGTGGATTGAATACATAGGGGCAGGGAGAAATAAAATGGTGGCATATATGAAGAGGAAGAGCCAGCTGAGAAGACTTGACTAGATCCAAGCGGGAAGAGTCAAACTGAATTGAGGTACAAGAAAATTAACTCTCAGTATTCGCTACTCGGTGGAAGCTTCTATAGAGTTTTTGGTGTTTCTTTGACTTCTTGGATGGGGGTTTAATAGAAGTATAGAACTTTACACAAAACCGTATTGAAATATTCCTAGCTGACCTTACAATTCGTTTTCGCATACATTATAATAATCAACAGTATATGGACATTAGAATTTTAAATCGAGTGGCAACTGGCAAGTCTTGGATGAGGGGTTTTGAAATGGTCCAAAATCTTGGTTCATTAATTAATGTTGGTATCACATGTAAGTTAAACCAGCAATGACGTGTCACGCCAGGCCGAAAAAAATATAATAATAATATGTTTGGTACATTAACCAATGATACCACTCCTAGACTGTCTCCATTCTCCACTGGTCAGTTGGCAAGAGAAGGAGAGGTTAGTTGATTGAAGAGTGGATAATAATACGATAATGTGTAGTTAGCAGGTTGCAAATGAGGTGACAGATAGGGGATAAGGTTAGTTAACCTCTTCACTTCCTCTACATCCAATCCAAACCAAGAGGAGCGGAGCAAGAACGAGGGCTACTATCTATTTAGTGGTGTGTGTTGTGTGATAAAGTGTTTGGATTGCATTTTTTGTCATTTTTTATAAAAAAATTACTATAGCGATTTGATATATGTAAGGGAAAAAGGTGATAGGGAAATGTGATCACGAAAAACGATAATATTTTCCGACGGAAACAAGGCACTTTGCTAATTTTTGCCAATTTGATTCATTTCTTCTTTTCTTTTTCGGCCAATCTGATGTTTATGC